GCGTGTAAGTGTGATTACATTCCAGAATTATTCCTTTATTATTTGGGCCACTGGATTCCATCGCAACGACTGAATGATCGACGGGCTGGCTGGATAAGCTGCAGGTCCTGGGTTTGAGCTTTGGTGGGGTCATAAGTACATACCTTTGCAGTATTCCGAAACCAGCACTCCCTGGTTTATAGTGGTTCTCCAACTGATATCAGTTCGAGATCAAACCTGAAACAGATGAAATCCCTAAAATCGAACCCTTGAGTTTCTTGAAATAATTGTATTTATTCAGTAATTATAATTTTCACTTGCGTATCATCAACATCGATTTCTGTTCACACTATCAATTGTTTTGTTGAACTGACTGCAGTTTGATTTCAACCGATGTACGTTGTAAGTAACTGAAAAGAGGATGAAACAAAGTACTATCACATTATTATGTTCAAAACGTTGCTCCTGCTCCAGTTAACTTCACCAGAGAAAAGAAAAAAATTGACCAAATTTTCTATTTTGACTGAGATTTAATAATCTGTTTTAAAAAAGACATAATTCTACAATAGATTCCCTCATATATAAACACAGCTTGTCAAATCAGAATCTTGTGCCTTCAACCCCTACTTGTTTGCAAAATTGAGAAAGAATGCTGTCTGTCAGAGAGTTGACTTATGCGCACTTTTTGTTGTTTTCAGTTATTTTCACTTAAATTCCCAGCATAACAACTCACTGAATTTTCAAAACTGCTTCAAAATTCTGCTTAGTTTAATTTATCGTTTGCAAACTACACCGTTACATTACTTGAGAACTCAAAATGGAAACAAAAATGACACTCAGTGGTGTCTTTTTCGGTCTCTTAAAAGAACACAAACTGCAATACCTTTGTATTTTGTTGAAGTTGATAATTGGGAAACAGGGATGTAAATCGCTACTGGTGTTAATCCTTGGTTTATAAGGGTTTCAGCTATTACTTCAGTGTCATAATAATAGAAATGAACGACTTCTCGGTCACAAGCCATCAGCTTTTCATGACTAAACAACAGTTGAGAAAGATGCTTTATAACCTCGTTTCAATCTCATTGCACAACCTCTGGAGAGTAATTCTGTTTGATAAAAACATACGGCGATGAAGTATTATTACAAATGAAATAATGGGGAAGGTTTGTGGCTTAGGTGGGTAAAATTGAATTGGTTGTGTTCTCTGAGCTGGCTTCTGTCGTCCTTCTAGACAACATTTTCAGCGCATGTTTAAGTGTAAAATAAAATCTGCGCTGAAAATGTTGTCTAGAAGGACGATGAAAACTGCGCAATTGAATCAGCCAGCTCGGAGAACACAACTAATTCAATATTTGCAATTAATAGTGTTCTCTGAGCTGGTTGGTTTAGCTGCGAAGCTTTCGTTGTCCTTCTGGACAACATCTTCAGCGCCATATTTAGCATAAAGTAAAATGATTTAAATTTCTTCATGAGGGTAATAACTGCGTCTCCCAATAACCATCTTTGTTTTATGTATTGATCATTTTCTATTGACTTGGATTTTAAACTTTCTGGTCATCTGATTTACTTTTTATTAGTTGGTATATTTCGTCTATATTAACGTGCTTGTTAATTGCATTTTCGTTTGAGTACCAGGCTTCTAGGAATTTTCTGACACCTTTGGTGTTTCCTCTGTCTAAGATTTTGACATTATCCCAATCAAATTGATGACCATAATTGTCTATATGCATTGATACTAAAGAATATATATATCGTGTCTTTTCACGGCTGATTTCTGTTCTTGGATTCTGATTCGAAGGGGACGCCCCCTTTGGCCGATGTAATGCCTGTTACAGTTTATACACTTTATTTTGTAAATGGTATTAATCTTATCTCCTTTTTCTGTTGGATCTTTCGGTTTCTATAATATCGAATTAAGCGATTTGACTGGCCTGTGTACTATATCCAAATCAAACGGTTTCAGTATTCTAGCTGTTATTCCAGAGATATTCCTCATGTATGGTAGAATGAATTTTCTTGTGGTCTTTGATGATGGTTTTTTGTTGGTGTTTTGATTCGACTTTAAACACTTTTTGGTGAAACTTTTGTGGATAACCATTCTTTTTGAAGACCGTTTGAAGGTATTTTTCTTCCATTCTTTTCAATTCTGGAGTGCTACAATGTGCCTGAACTCTTTCAAACAATGTTTGCACACAGTTTCGTTCGTGAGTCTGGTACTCAAACGAAAATGCAATTAACAAGCACGTTAATATATACGAAATATACCAACTAACAAAAAGTAAATCAGGTGACCAGAAAGTTTAAAATCCAAGTCAATAGAAAATGGTCAATACATATGTAAAGATATTTACCAGGAGACGCAATTATATCACTCATGAAGAAATTTAAATCATTTCACTTTATGCTAAATATTGCGCTGAAAGGGTATGTTGTCCAGAAGGACGACGAAAGCTTTGCAACTAAACCAACCAGCTCAGAGAACACTATTAATTGCAAATCATCCACCTGAGCTATAAATCTTCTCTATTAATTCGATATTATTACTAACGATATTTTGATCAAAATTTATTGCTCACAGTCATATCAAGTTACTCAAATAACTTCCAAAATTTGTTTATGTGATTCCACAATCTTTTATAATTTGACTTTTTTTGGTAGTAATATTTTTCATATCTCCCGTTTTTGCATTAAGTCATTCCTATTGCAAGTGTTCGGTACAAATTCGATAAACAAAGATTCAGTGACCCACCTCTCTCTCCGTCTACCAATATTACATTTTAGAACTTCAGCTTATTCCTATCCTATCGTCTTCGTTGGGTGAATTACCACACAGTTAGCTAATTTCTGAGGTTTTAATAATCTGAATACACCCCATCTACTAGCCTTACCAATGTAGTTTATCTCACAGCCATTGCAAGGTATTTCTTTATCATTGGGACAGCAGAGTCCTTTAACCAACAGACCTGATCCCGAAGTGTGCTTGTAGGTTATAATACCATCCTAATCCCTGCACTAATTAACTGTCCCAAACTGATTAGTTTTGTTGAGATTCTTACTTTACTAAATAATCTAGACTAACTAGTGCAAAAATGACTATGCAAGATAACTAACAAGATTTACAAAAGTCTTAGTTTCATCCTCCTACATTCATCTTTCAACAAGCACACTGAAATATGGTCACTGGTGGCAGTCTCAACTTCAAGACATTATCATTCCAGAATTCTTTTTATGAAAGGTAAACTAAATCAAACTATAATTCAAGTTCATGATTTTCAGTACGACAAGCATTTGTTTGCAGTGATTTGATTGATTTTAAGTTAGATCAGTTAGAGAACCGTTCATTAGCTCTCACCCATGATCCCAATAGGGATCTAACCCAGAATAATCAGGCTATGAGATATGCCCACTGAGCATTCAGCCAGTGGGATGGAATCAGATGACCTGTGTACATTACATTTTGTATGAAACATTTGTTTATAGACTTGTAACTATCTAGACTTTATTAACTTTCAGATATGATAGAGAAGATTTGTAGCTCAGGTGGATGATTTCGATGATTCACTGGAATGCCAAGCTTCTAAGAATTCTCTAGCATTTTAGTTGTTTCCTCTGTCTAATTCTTGAAAGTTGTTCCAGTCGAATTGATGTCCGTGGTTGCCTGTATGCAGTGATATGAGGGAGTGGATATGATGTCTTTTGACAGCTAGCTTATGTTCGCGGATACAAAGACGAAGGGGACGTCCACGTTGGTCAATGTAGTGTTTTTCGCAGTTCATACAATCTATTTTGTAGATGATGGTGGTTTTATCTTCTTTCGCTGTTGAGTCTTTTGGTTGACATAAAATTGAGTGAAGAAAATCGCCTTACCACATATAAAGGATATCTCAGAAATCACTATAAGACTCTTCAAACCTTTAGGAATTGACGTCGTACACAAACCAACAAAGTCGCTTCACTCAATTCTTTGTCAACCAAAAGACTCAACAGCGAAGGAGGATAAAAACAACATCATCTACAAAATAAATTGCAACAACTGCGAAAAACACTACATTGACCAACGTGGACGTCCCCTTCGTCTTTGTATCCGCGAACATAAGCTAGCTGTCAAAAGACATCATATCCACTCCCTCATATCACTGCATACAGGCAACCACGGACATCAATTCGACTGGAACAACTCTCAAGAATTAGACAGAGGAAACACCAAAAATGCTAGAGAAGTTTTAGAAGCCTGGTATTCCAGTGAATCATCACTCAATGGACACATCGAGATCGACAAAATTTATCAACCGATAAGAAAGAAACCTCACACACAGAGGGTCAAAGTTCAAGTCAAAGAAACAATGAGTTACAATACAAATAACCTAGAAGGTGGGAAAACAACCAATCACGTTCAAGTTCACCCACCAGGAGGGATGATTAAGGAACTCGTGGAGAAATCTAAAAGTTCACTTCAAATTGAAGTATGCGCTGAAGGTGTCACCTAGTAGGGCAATGAAAGCTTCGCAAATTAACTATCCAGCTCAGAGAACACAACCACATTAAAATATAACTTTCTTAAAGTACTGGTGTTTTGGTATTAAAGTCGAGAAAGTCCTAGTAATTATCGGTTCGCAGCGTCTTCGCAAATAGTAGGAACTTAGGGTTAAGTACCTTGACAACCTGTAAATTCTAACTTCTGCTACTTTGTATCCAGCGGGGTCTAAAAAAATTGAATGTGAGGTAGAATTCTCACCGACGACATTGGTTGACAGCTACACTATATGTCGCAAACTGGTAGAAATTAGAATTTATTAGCTACTACATTCAACCTTGGTGGCTGACTAGGTAACCTGAGAATTATGGCTTCAATTCCCAGCGGGATCAGGGACGAGTACCTCTACAGCATCCGAAACCAGAAAAAAAACAGTTTTCCAGTACCTCCTCTTTTTCACACTAGTTCTCTAACTAATATCCTTTGGTGACCAAACTTTGAAAAAAGTATTTCTAGCCGTGAAAAATTACAAATTCACTTCAAATTACTGCTTTATTTCATTTTAGCAACAAAACATGGTGACAATAGTAATAATGACGATAATAAATATTAGTTATGAGTCAATGAGGTTCAAGAATTTTGTTTGATGCATAAGGTAACAGATTATATTGACGCCACTCGATCTAAATTCATTTCAATCTTTAAATAAATTTCATCATTCACTACATAATTTGATGCTTCTAAAGTTTCTAACTTCACAAAACGTGGTGCACCAAAACATGAATTCCGTTCAGTAGTTGGTTTCCCAAGAAATTGATTATAATCACCAGTTAAATTTGGTTTAATTGTATAATTGATCGGTTTTCGAGCACTGATCACTGGATTTTGATCAATCAGTGTAAATGTTAACTAAAACAAAAAAAATGAAAACAGTGAAAAAGGCAGAAATTATGAATGAATTTATATCAAAGAGATTGTATAGCTTATACAGAATAGTACCTCATTAATCCGAAATCTCTAAGGTTCAGTTAGTAAGTTGATTGGTATTTAAATCGTTTGCACTTAAATACTTCAGACCAAAAATAAGCAATGGATATACCAACATAAAGTAATGAATTTTAAAAAGGTTATTCGAATAAACTATCTATATATCTAATTTATAAAGTACTGCTTTAGTTCTTATATTTTTAAATCCAAGTGAAAGCTAACAGGTTGTAAGAAGAGGCGACAAAGACAGGACTTCAGGTGAAAATAGTGGTGATTATGATCCTCAACCAACTACAAGGACAAAAACATTGATCCCCGTCAACTGGAGAAGTCTAGTGGAAATCATCTCTTTCACTTAACCGGGCAGCATCATTCCGACTACAGGCAACACGGATGAGAATGTCAAAGCCAGTCATGATCTTATTAGTAGAGCGAGACAGGAATTAAATACTCTGAAATCAGAATTGATATCTACAGTACTCAAGATAACGAACAAGCCTCGAATTTTTAACACCTAATTCAAGTCAGGGCTTCTAAATGGTTCACAAACTTGGTGTGCGTGTCAAGAAAAGCATTCCCAACAGCTTGTTGTACACTTTCTTTAATATTAACCTTCACTGGATGTTGAAGATCAATAACCAGAGAGGAAAGCAAGTGACAATAAACTTTGGTAATGCAACAAACCAGCTAAAAGTCTACTACTTAAAAGTTATGCAGATGGAAATAGATATGAACTGTAGATAAGCTGAAGGGGCCTTGAAGCGAAATCAGATACCAGACAGAACCTCGAGTAGGACTCAAATGGAAGGCAAATGGTTGGGCGTCTATGAATGATACACAAGATGTCATGTTAAAAAGAAATGTAAGCTTGAAATCAGGCATGATTTCAGGTGCAAGGAGTGAAAGTGAAAGCAGTGAAATGTGAATGTCTCTTTGAGGCTCAATAATCCACTCTGACCCCAGGAATGAATACTAGTAGTAGTAATAATAATAATGGTATCTTTATCTCCTCCTGTTTTATTAGATACTACCTTGAATGATTTGTTGGAAAATAGTGATTACTGTGACATTAATAAGGCGGCCTGCAATTATATCTAATCGATTACTGTATGGACTCGAATGCACTTTTAACTGTCTTCTAATAAAATGCTGTTTTGCTGGAACAACATTTCGTCATATTATATACTTCAGTATTTAACTGATCACATGATTTCTAAAATGTTAAAACTGTGGTATCAATAAGGGTCATTTTTCTACGCATGTAAAACGCTGTGAAGTTCACTTTCTTTTCTATGAATTAAAAACAAAATAGCTCAATTGACATATTTTTTCTTACAATTTTTAATGAATTCCCCTCGTAATTTTATCATGCTATGTGGATAGGGCATTATACTGACATTCATACATGACATTCTGAATATCCTTGATGTTATATAGGGAAAACAGCAGAATAGAAGTCGAAATGACGGCATACTTATCGTGGGCACAAGGAAAATCACAATAAAAAAATCAGAATGCACAAAGCAGGTCAGTAATTCACATGGGTACACTGATGTGATGATTAAGAGCCATGAATTCTGCTCAAAGCGACATCCATTTGTTAACAATGTATCACTGTGTGTGTTATGTCAAAATAAACCTAGCTGGTATGGAATAGAATAGTTTAAATATTTATTTATGAAAATACCTTGGTATTATTTACAATTTATTTCCTTAAACACGATATTGTAATGCATTAAACTATCGAAAAGACTGTGTACTTTCACCATATAATTTAAGCTGCAGTGGTCAGAAGCCGTGCTGCATGAAAGATCGAATAATCATTTCTGGTAACATGTTTGTTATCGATTCAAGTTCTGGCATCAAGTTATAATTGAATACAAGCCTGTTAAATTAAATTCAGTTAATACGACCTGATGTCGGTCAAATTAACTTTTTAAGAAAAAGGGAAATGAAATCGCTATTCAGTAATTTCTATGCTTTTACAGCTTAGTTATATATTTTTGACTTCCATATAACGTGGTATGTGCATTAGTTGTTCAATGGTAGAATATCCGTCAATCACGAATGTGCCCTGTATTCGATTCATGCTTAACGTCCTTCTATACCTCTCCTAGCCAATAGTAAGGCTGGTGAAGACGACAGGTTGAGAGTTAGCTTGGCAATGTGAATGTGTATGAAAAGGCTGGTTGTTATCACCGATGACACTGCTGACCGTGGCGGACTAGATCATATGGAACACCTTAAAGAGGGAGAAGACAGGAATACTTTTGGCCAGTAAGAAGACTCTAATAGATTTGAAGTTCAATGACGATTTATTTCTAATGTTAGTTGAATTATAAAATCTACACGTGAAAACCAACAAGTTGACAGAAGAGTCAGTGAGGACAGGATTTCAAGGGAACATACAGAAGACAGAGGTGATGAAATAGCCAGGCAACAACAAACACCGGTCACTGTCAATGGAAGAAATTTGAACGAGTCACCTCTTTCACTTATCTAGGCAGATAGATAGTGGGGCGAATGATTTCGAAGCCAGTCGAAATCCGATGGGCAAAAGAGACCTCCAGTAATCTGAAATGAGCGTGGAAATTTACTGTAAATAGCACGGCCTACACTATTCGCATTGTAAACACTGATGTCAAATCACTGGTTCTAAGGGGTTCAGAGACTTGGCAAGTCACTTAAAGCATTTCTAGAGGGTTCCATACCTTTACTAACATCTGTCTTCTCTACCTCGATACTGAAGATCAAATAGACGGCCAGGAATGGTAAGCGACAGCTAAGCGACAAAAACCAGCCCAACAAATATGCACAATGAAAAGGAGGTTGATCAGATAAACCCTGAGGAGGTCATTGAGTGACATCGTACGATAGGCCGTCGAGTGGAATCCGAATAGGAAACGAAAATTTGGACGTCTGAAGGTGATATGGAGGAGACTGTGTGAGGTGGAAGTAAGAGCTTATGGGCAATAGTATAGCCAGCTGAAGAAGACTGCAGGAAACAGCATTTTGCTTACTTATCTGTCACTCATTGGAACGCAAATTTTCTTGAATGGGAAATCTGAAACATGTGGAAATATACTTCCTAGATTCCACTGGTAATTGTCACCAAAAATAATCAACTTCTGGTTGGAAAACAAGGCAACATCGAAGCATCCATTCATGCAACTTGTACAGCGAAGTCAAGCCGATTTATTCAGTACAGACATATCAAAGGAAAGTGGTAAGTACAAATAAATAATACTCCGGCTTTCTTGTCCCTCAGATAGATTACTTAACTAACATTTCCTCGTATAACTTTACTTAGGTTTTAGATATACATCTTGATATAAGAGGCCCTAATTATTTTGCTGATTCCCTAAGATCCAGTAGAGTGGCTTATTACATCTAATAACCCTTAACTTTTCAAATGAAATATATATTGCAAAAAATCCTGACCTGATGTGAAAATGGCCACTCTAAAAGTGAATCATGATCTCCACGAAAAAGACAAGCGTAAACAGACATAAATTTTCCAAATGCATCACCATTTCCATACAATGAGACTGACAGTGCCATTCGATAACCATAACGATGAGTATAAAACGGTGGACTGAATATAGCGTTCTGTTTACCAGACTTGGCATTGTTTAATTTCTCAGCGAATGAATCAATTTTCCATAGAAATGTTGCTCCAAATCCACGTTCCAATGCTGTTGTACGCTTTATTTGTGATTCGAGTAAACTACGAACTTCTGTGTACGACTTTGTCTAAAATTTTAAAAAAACATGCAAGATGAAATTCAGACGGATAATTTCATCAAAAACAGAGTAAGGATATGGTGTGTAGGGCATTTTCACAAAATTTGGTGGATTCAGAGTTTAAGCCAACAGTCACTTAAGTTTAATTGAATTTTAGATTTTCCCGTCGACTGATTGGACGGAAGTGCTTGGTCTCAAGTTGACATATCGGCTTCTTGTGCAGATGCTTCGACGATGTCTGGGCATGTAATGAGAATTTAATTGGTGGATGGTGACTAGCAGTGGAATCCAGGATGTTCATTTCGTCCTATTTGGGACGAATGCAGAGGAATGCAGATAAATCCAGCTGACGAGTCCCAAATAGGACGAAATGAGCATCCTGGATTCCACTACTAGTCACCATCCACCAATTAAAGTCACTTAAGTTCTTATAATCAATGTTGTAGATGGAAATCCTAAGATAATATATACTTTTTATGAATATATTTCAATAATTTTCGAACGTAAAAACATCATCTTAGTACAACAGAACAATTTATACTTAGCATAATATATGATCTGCTTGATACCATGAATGATAATCAAGAAAACCAGCATATTCGCAAAAAATTATATACTACTTATCGATTGATATGAGTAGTTTTGTGCTACTCATATCAATCAGTAGTGCTTACAAGCCACATGGAAGTCATCTGAACATGGGACGACAGTTTAACTAATTCGTGCTCAAGCTCATAAGTGGTGCATCTGGTTTGATCTATCTCAGAGAGCCAAATTAGTTCAAACTGTCCAAATTCTGGCTAGTCACCTGCGCTTGGATTGGTTCAATAAATTACCTCGACTAATTGTTTAGGTGCGAACGAAACAATATTGTTCGCTTAGACATCTTTGTCAAAGCAACAAAACAAGATTTGAAATATACTATGCACATCACATACTTATATAAATACGAAACACTCTGAACAGTAGATTTTTTCTTATTGCTTCTTGAATACTCTTGAAAATAATGATGGCTGTTTTCTTAAATTTTATTCTTGATAGGATTCGTCCAAGTTTGTCATTATGCCAATCCATATATTGCCGCATGGACTAACAAAGCTATCTCAAAATGACTTCCATTCACATTGGCCTCTGTTAATTTGCCATTGTGTGGAGTTAGTCTGGTTACACAGAAGCTTATAATTTCAATATATCGACTTGTTAGGTTGTAGGAATCCCGCTTACTTCAATTTCGATTTCAAAACGAATTGATTTTGGTTACAGAATCATTGAAAGTCATGAAGTACTGTACAGCTATTTTGTAACAAATCATAAACCAACTCGTGTAATTTTTTATTTTCCTTTACGTTCCCAGTGAGATGTAGGGCTTCAGGCTAGAAGCTTGAAGTTTTGGTAGCCGTGGTGTTTATTGTTTACGTGGTTGGGTTGCCAGCCTCATGCCCAACCCGCCCTCTTTACCAGTCTTATTACTGGATTAGTGTGGTAAAGGACTTAGTCGTTCTCAGTGGCGCAGATGCATCCACTCCTTGTGACTCATGATTTCCAATAAAACTGTTTTGTTCTTCATTATTACTATTCCTTTGTCTCACACCTCTGTTTACTGTCTCTAATATGCTTTTCTCCTACTTTCTTCTCTTGCTTTGTGTGCTACATGGAGTGTGGCAACGTGAACTGCCGCACATATGTGCAAAGTTCTATGTCGAAAACCGACCGACCGAGTCGGCCATGGATCAGAACCCGGACCATATGCGTGTTTGGTGAACATTCTACCACTGTGCCACCAACGTTAAGTTCGTGCAATTAGCCAACCAGAAATCGAGTGGTTTCAACTGCTTCGGTTTGTGGCGAGAGCTATCTACTAGCCAAATTGGTAGACAGTAATTTACGTCAATATTTACGTTCCCGAGATTTGTCGTGAGAAACAGCCAATCGGAAGACTGTGTTTGTTTGTTTACATATCCATAGTAATGAACATGAAAACATATATAAATATGCGTTGATTTCCTTAATAAATGATCTGTTGCCTGGCCCTTGTCTTCTGTCGTTACAATTGGTGTCGCTGCCTACCGACAAATGGAAAGCCTATGCCCTGCAGTTTTGATGAAGACATATGTATCTTCGGGCAGGACTTTGAGGCTTCTTCGCAGTTGAGTGGCGTCCAAGATCTGTCAGCGATGAGGCTGCTACTTGGGACGCTGCTGGGAGGTCGGGAGAAAGCAGCATATGAAAGTGTGAGCGGAAATACCTACGAATGTGCGGCAGGGTCAGGCAAACAGTTTCCAAAACGAGAAGGACCATACACAGTCACAAAAAGACCGGGTCAAGTATATACCATCAGAAGAGGTGACAAGCAAAAACGAGTTATCGCCAGTCAGATCCAACGATGGGTGCATTGGGACAAGCCGGTCTGTAACAATCATCAACGAGAGGATGCATCACCCAGAAGGTCGGAACGCCTGCGCGCGAAGCTATTTGACGGGGGGACGAGTGTGGTGAGAGCTGTCTACTAGCCAAATCGGTAGACAGTAATTTACGTCAATATTTACGTTCCCGAGATTTGTCGTGAGAAACAGCCAATCGGAAGACTGTGTTTGTTTGTTTACATATCCATAGTAATGTACATGAAAACATATATAAATATGCGTTGATTTCCTTAATAAATGATCTGTTGCCTGACTCTTGCCTTCTGTCGTTACAGGTTCTCTGAGCTGAATGTAACCACATACACTGCTGATTAGCAAGCACCAAACTAGATAAATGAATGTCCTGCGTTAAGGTGACTTCAATCTGCCTAGCAAGCACTATTGGTTTGTGTGAACGCCACCATCTGACTACTCATATCAATCAATCAGTAGTATATGGTATCATGTGTCTATTCTGGCTTTCTTGACTATTATTCATGGTATGAAGCAGATCATACATTGTGATCGGAATAATTTTTAGTTTCCAAAGGATTCTATGGTGAAATTCCGCCTCCTAGAACTGTGGAATACGCAAAGTGTAAATTAATTTGTACACTGTTGAATAAAGGATATAATATAAAAGCATAAGAAAATAAGAAACTGAACAAATCACTGTCAAAGTGTTATTTTCTTTTTCTTTTTTTTTAACTTACTTGCGCTTCAATCAATAATGACATTTGTTTTACTGATGCATTAAGCAGATTTAAATGCATAATGACTGACTGTTCTATGTGGGGATCAATTGTGTGTTTACGACCACGAAATCCACAACCATGATCATTAAATGGACAACTGATATATTGTTTAGAGCATTCATTTTTTAAATGGGCTGTCAACTCTCCTCTTGGTATAGCAGTTTTTTCACATTTATTTGGACAAGGAATTGGATATTCTGTACACTGGGCGGAATGTTTTATTTCATTGGCAGAAAGCATTTTTGTTCCACAATATTGACATTGTTTAACGCGTTTAGCACAATCATTTTGAATATGTTTCTCTAAATATCTCCTCTTTATTATTATTCAGTTGGTAAAACAAAGGAAAGAATTATAAAATATATATATAATAGGGTTTGAAAACAATCAAATACAATGAAATTGATTGTACACTTGTTCTATTATTATTGTATTATGTTATCCAGTGAGTTCTTAATGCCATAATGGGCTTAAACAACATCTGTGTAGTCTTATTTAAGTGACCAAACGATTGCCCACAAGTTCCTGTTCTCTCCTAACATGACCTCCTCCATGTCGCCAACGGACCAACACCCAACTCGTCTTTTCCAATTTGGATTTTAACTGAAAGCAGTGGCACTCAATAGTCTCCTCAGTGTGTTGCATATATGTCGAGTGATAATTTCTCAGTTAATACATCCAACAGTTGTACGACAGTGCTGAATGCCAAGTAATCCACAATGGGAAACTAATGGAATCCTTCGAAGTGAAGACGGGAGTAAGACAAGCTGGCTGCCTACTATCTTCAATGATCTTCCTGATTGCGGTAGACTGAATATTAGAACAGACAGGGAGCAGCGAGGAAACAGGCATTAAATGGACCCACACAAAAACTTGGAGGATCTGAACTTCACCGACGACATTTGTTTGATTTCCCACATAGTGGAAGATATGTAAGTGAAAAGGAACAAGTTGGCAGAAGAAGCATGCAGAGAAGATAGATCATCAGGTGAAGATAGAGAAAACAGAGGTGATGCAGATTCCTGGCCAACAGCAACAGTAGCAGCAACAACAGCAGACAACAATCAGCATAGATGGAAGAAATTTGAAAGAAGCAACCTCCTTTACCTACCTACCTCGGAAACATCGTTTCAACTACAGGCGGTTGGAACTGGTGAGGATATCAAAGCGAGGATCGGAAATGCAAGGCAAACTTTCATTTCTCCCAAGTCTGTGTGCAGGTCAACAGTAGTCAGCATGAAAATTAGGATTCGGGTCTTCATATCCAATGTGTGGTCAGTGCTATTCTACAGGGATCAGAGACTTGCACTGTGCGTCATAAAGAGCACTTCAAACAAACCACAGACCTTCATCAACAGCTGCCTTTGCTCAATACTCAAGATCAGATGGCCAGAAAAGATCAACAACAAGGATCACTGGGAGCAAACCAACCGGGAACCGACTGTGCAACAAATATGCAGCAATAAATCGAGATGGATTAGCCATACTCTCAGAAAACAAACCATCATCAAGTGACATTACACGCCACGCCATCGCTCGAGTGGAACCCGACTGAATGGGAAGCGGCGAGTTGGTCGTCAGTGCGAGGATGACATGGACGAGGTTATGTGAGGAGGAGGAGATGAAAGCATGTGGGTAGACATGGAACCAGGTGAAAGCGTTGACAGGGAACCAAACGCAATGGAGACGTGCGGCTGAAGCCCTATTTTTTTCTAGGAACTAAAGGAAAAAATAATAATTATACATTACCAGTTTTCCATGTTGCTCATCCCTTCTTACCATCCATCTTATCTTCATTATAGAAGAAGCAAAGGTATGTGTTCAGTAGGCTGCTGGAAATGGTCTTGGTGAAGAGTTAAATCTCTGGCTTGAAATAAATGTTGAAGATCCGAATCTTGTTTTTTATTCTGATTGGAGCAGATTTCCACAAGGATTTCAGATCATGAAAAATATCTCCACTTAGTCAAAAACCAGCCAGGAATCGATCACTCAACAAAGTATGCAGAATGAGACGGAGATGGACTGAACATAAGCTGAGGATATCTTCAAGTGAAATCACACGCTACGCTGGCCCTCTGGTGGAACTAGGGAGACAGCAGAGAACCTAGTGAAATATGCCGCTGAAGCCCTATATTCCGATCGGAAATGAAGGGAACAATAATAACCAATGTCGCAGTTTGTTCAGATTTGATAAATGTCCAAAAAAAGTCCATTAAATTATCTCAGCAAGTAGATGTAGGTTGTATGATGAACTGAGTACTGAATATTCCAGTTATCTTCAGCTCTTTCTTTTGGTTTATTCAACGCCTAATACAAGATCTATCTGGAATTTATTTGAAATTAGCTTCTTCTTTTCTACTACGCAGCGAGGCGAAAGATAATTTTATACCGTTTTTGCCGAAAATTCAGAAAAATGACATTTCTTTCTATCAGAATATTATGTTTATCCCTTGTTTGAACTAAACTTTTATTTATGTCATCTGTACAATTTGCTGAAAAGAACCTTTTTACACGGATAATATAAAGTACACACATGTTTGCCTACTAATCATGTTCTTCTTTTCTGTGCCTGTCTGGTCCCCATTATAATTACTGAAAACTTCGAGGAAATTCACATCCTCATTTCGAAGAGTAATCAGTTACCAGATCGGTAAACAGTGGGATTATATTCCCAAATTTGTGACAAGCAGATCAAACTTGTCTCGACTGCTTTACTATCTCGCCAGTTTTCTAGACTGTCTCAAGCCATGGAAGAAACGGAGGGCTGACTTGACGCTAGCGTCAGTACCCCAGAAAACCAATCAAACTTATACAGAAACGTTAACATACAATAAAAATATTGAAAATACGAAAAATTTAATGAACAAACTTATTTTTCGCTGGAATCAGAGAGGCGAAATGAAGTAGGCTGATGAAAGCCTTCGAGAAGTCAGTCAGCTGATGTGTCTTCTTTCGATGAAAGCAAGAATAAGAATTCAGACGTGGAATGTTTGTACAATATAAGATCGAAATTTCTCCCGCAAGTAACTGTATAGTTTTTCATATTTTATTATTCCTATTAACTGTAATATACTATCCGGATATCTTTTACCACTTCGGTTTCGTTTGATATTGTAAATGATTACCAAGTCTTATTTTAAAAATTAGCTATATTTTTATGGAAATATTTTCTTATAATAACTTACTTGTAATTCTATTCCACATTGTCTAGGGCATGAAAGAATTTTATATTCACATTGATTAAGATGGCTGCCTAATTCTCGTAGAATTCCTGTCCATAAACATCCTTCAGTATGATAGGAACACTTTACACCAAAACTATCCATATGTTCTTGAAAAGCTTTATCTAAATGAACACGATCCTTTTTCAAAGTTTTTTTATCCACTGGACATTTTGAAGTACCTCTTTTATCAAAAAAATATATAGAAAGTCAAGATAAATTTAAGAAAAAAGACGAATGGATTGTTGGAGCAAATAATAACTGATTCCTGTTGCACAAGAGGTGGCTTTCATGGCTTAAGTGGCCTAGTGGGTAACGCTCTAGCGTTTGGAACTATTGGTACTGGGTTCAATTCTCAATGAGGACACCTTTACTCACTGGAGAATTGCAGGTACATTAAGTTGACCAGTAACAAACAGAATGTAATGAGCATTTGCTGGATTCCGCTGTTAGTCACCAACCTCTGAATTACCTTAGAGTTTAAGTTCAATTGAATTTAGCACCGAAGACTTTGATGTAGAAGGACAATGAAGGCTTCACAGCAGTTAAACTATCTAACTCAGAAAACACAACAGCAACTCAGTTGGTCAGTTATCAATTCATTTAAATTAGGCTTCTATTAAAAAGGCTAAAAGTGAGTCGTTCAGGATGGGTGAAAGACATACGTATATTTAGGTGTCACAATTTATCTACTTTGAAAGTAATAATAAGTTCCTAGCTAACTCCAGTGAACTAGAGCCTACCCTAATCTGGAGACCAGCTGAAGTCATTGAGTTACCTGATTATCCACAAAGCACAATGCGTCAAACTTATTCAGTTATAAGTTTATTTTAACCACCTATTTACATTCTTGAAAAACAATCTGTACCCATGTGCATTTCTGAATGGCTTTCAACATACTGCTTGGCCTATTTCTGATGGGACTAATATGTCAAGGGTTGGAGCATATCACAGATCGAACAAAATTCTGTCAAATGATATACTGCAGATTACTCTTTTATTTGAAGATTCTGTATAATGGAGTAGATAAGGTGAAAATTCAGTACTTCACATGAACAATGTTCAGAATAAAGCTATTATCATTTTATTAAGGGATCAATCTTAATTGGTCATTAGCTGTCTGTCATCTAATTCGTTACAGGATTTCATCATGAGCTGAAATAGGTTAGAGAACCACAGGAAAACCTGGAATTACTGGAAAGCCTTTTCGTTCTAGTTTGGGGCTCTTCAAAAGTACTCACCCACCGGGGTTTGAACCCAGGACATTCTGTTTACAAGGCAAGCTAGCTCGTAGACTATTACGCCACTGGGACCCATCCCAATGGCCCATGAATCTGCCAAAACACAACATAGCGCGACCACTGGTCGATGTCTCCGGCGACTATTTGTACTCACGCCCGACCTGCTGTACTCTACTGGTCATGAATTCCAACTAGAACCTGTAACCAATCAATCAAATCCCTACGAAACAATACTTGAATATCATCTAATTTGTTTACTCAGATTTCATATATTTGACTTAATAACAAGGATAACAAGAATGATGGTCTTATTCTAACAACTGACCGAAATTGAGCTTTGTCGTATCATATTAGAATTTAATGAAGTCATTTTTCATACTATTTTGAATTTTTCAAAGGGGAATGGCCTAAGAAAAGTGTTTTTCTTAAATTTATGGAGAATGTGAAAGGATTCTCATACAATTTTTAACTGAGTTGAGGTGTTTTCATGATCCTTACACTTAGAGGAGAAAATTGTTCTTCATCTGACTAGCCAAACTCAGTCACATTATGACACACCATAATGTGCATATATATATATATATGTAAATTTGTGCTGGACAAGCTTGTTACAGAATTTCTCAGCATTCAGTTCCAAAGAAAACCTTATTCATGAACTTGGAATTCAAAGGTGATCAAGCTTCAGATAGGCTCAAAACTCGTCTCTCTAAATCAGTCAGTAAAACGTTCTTTGCTGCAAAATTACATATGACGTTCACTAGCCGCAAGTTGTTCTCTACCTCTGTAAAAGATAAGCTCCCCCATCTAGCCGCCTCCATGTGCATCTATCAGTTCACCTGCTCTTGTGGAGCAAGGTACATTGGCCGTAGTTACAGGATGCTTTCCATACATATACGAGAACATATTCCAGCATGGTTTTACAAGGGAGAAAGGAAGTGTGTGCGAAGCTCTATTCTGGAACACCTGATCGACTTCTGCCACTCTGTCAACCCTGACCATGATTTTAAGATCATATATAGAATCCATGCTAACTGCGTTTTCTTCGTTACAGACTTCTAAAGACAGCTGAGGCCTTGGCAATTCATGACTTTAAGCCAGATCGTTGTGTACAAAAGAAGTATGTACAATCCCTACTTCTACCTTGGCCTTAGAGGGATACAAATTTATTTATTTTGTTTATTTAGTTATTCTATGTACTTTTCCCTTATTACTACGATTACTATTATTATCATTATTACTATTACTATTCTCACTCTGAATCTTTTTCACTTGACCCACTTGACATTTTACACGCAAAATTATTGATTTTTATATTTTTATTTTTACAATATTGAATTCTATCTTATCAAATTTCACACCATGTTATGCAACATTTTATATTCGTCTACTAATCTTATAATTATGTACCCCTTTCCAAAATTCTATACACCTTATGTATTATTCTATATACGACATTAATTATTTTGCCACTTGACATTAAACTATGATTATAATCACAAATATTTTAATTGCATTTCATACTATTATTATTTTATGTATTCACACCTTTAACCTAATTCCCACACTGGATATAATTTTTATAAAAAAAACCATATATATACGACTGCACAGCTTGATAATAAATTCGTTGAAAAGAGTCTCTTCGCTGAATATTGTGTTCTTGATTCATTTATTATTATTATTATTGTTCCCTTGGGCTCCTAGTGGAACATAGGGCTTCAACTACACGTCTCCACTTGCTTCTGTCTTGTGCTGTACTTTTCACTTGCGTCCATGTTATTCCATACTGTTTCATCTCCTCCTCACACGATCTCCTCCATGTCACCCTTGGACGTCCAACTCGCCGCTTCCCTTTAGGGTTCCACTCAAGGGCCTGACAAGTGATGTCACCCAACGGCCTCCTCAGCGAGTGTCCAATCCATCTCTACTTTCTCCTGCATATTTGTTGAGCGATTGCTTCTTGTTTTGTTTCTTCCCATAGTTTCTTGTTGGTGATTCTTTCCACCCATCTGATCTTGAGTATAGAACGAAGACAGTTGTTGATAAATGTCTGCAACAGGCTGTTGGAAATATTCTTTGTGACACACTGGCCAAGTTTCTGATCCGTATAGAAGAACTGACTTGACGTTTATATTGAAAATCCGAACCATTTTGTTGTTGATGTTGAGTGACGAAGATTTCCAGATTGGTTTCCGGTTGATGAATGTGTTTCTCGCCTTCCCGATTCCCGATTTGACATCCTCGTCCGTTCCTCCTGTGGTTGAGACAATGCTCCCTACATAAGTGAAAGAAGTAACCTCTTTCAAATCCCTCCCGTTGATGGTGATTGGCGGTGGATATTGCTGCTGCTGTTGTTGTTGTTGGTTGGTTATTTTCATGACCTCCGTCTTGTCTATGTTCACCTGGAGTCCTGTCTTCACCAGCTGCTTCTTCGACCAGTTTGTCGGTTTTCGCTTGTAAGTCTTCGATTTTGTGTGACATCAAACATAAATCATCCACGCGCGAAATCCAGGTCTTCTAGGTTCTTCACGTCGGTCCAGGATATCCCTGTCTTCTCGTTTCCCACTGTCTGACGCATAATCCAGTCCACAACAATTAGGAATATCATTGGTGATAATAAGCATCCTTGTCTGACTCCTGTGTTCACTTTAAACGCCTCACTGAGTTTTCCGTTGTGGATCACTTGACATGTGCCATTGTCGTACATCTGTTGAATAAGGTTGATGAATATTTGGGGTACGCCGTAGTACTCGAGTAGTTTCCAAATTACTTCGCGGTCAACGCTGTCGAAGGCCTTCTCAAAGTCTATAAAGTTGAGGTAGAGATTTGATTGCCATTCCATGCTTTGTTCGATGATGATGCGTAGAGTTGCAATTTGGTCCGAACATGATTTGCCTTTCCTGAATCCAGCTTGTTCCGGGCTGGGGAGAGTTCTGTATCCAGTGCGTCCTTGATTCTCTCCAGGATGATGCCACTCAGGATTTTACTTGGCGTTGACAGGAGCTTGATTCCTCGCCAGTTCTTGCAGAGTCCCAGGTCGCCCTTCTTTGGTACTTTCACCAGGTAACCTTTCCTCCAGTCAGTAGGCACCTTTCCCTCTTTCCAGATCTTTTGCAATAATGGAGTCAGCATATCTGCTGTCGTTTCTGGGTCCGCTTTCAGTGCTTCCGGGGATATTCCATCTGGTCCAGCTGCTTTTCCAGCTTTCAGGAGCTTGATTGCATTCATGACTTCAGTTTTCAGTAGTCAAATCCAGTATTTAAGAAATGATATCACATTAGTTTGTTATTATTAAGATATTACTCTTAAGTTATTAAATAGTATATAAATATAGTTTATGCTGATTTCTTTTCTACCCATAGGTTTCCTTCATGTTATTTTGATTTTAAACAGTATACCCAAGAAACTTTATTTTTTTGAAGAACGCCATTTTTATCAATAAACGACGGATAGGATGCCAGTGTGATATTGAGAAGTTGTGAAGCTGACTAAAAATGATGGAAGAAGACCGCCTAAACCAGAGATACCTCGGTGAAACCCTTTGTTCCACTCGGAACACAAGGAATAAATAAATGATATGCTTTTACTAATATCATCGCTTTTTCCCACCAGGTACGATTCTAGAAACTTAAGGTATAACTGCTAAAAACGCAGAAAAAACTACAATCTTGTAATTACAAATATCCCAGTATTGTATTGCATCTTTGATATCACCACAAAATAAGTCATGTTGACATTCCAAGTACAAACTTTAGCCAAATTATCAATTCAATTGAAAGTGAACCTTTATCCATCAAAATGGCTGGAAAAGGTGTTATACACTCCAAATGACCACATTTCTTGTTCAGGAAGGTTAGCTCATATAGAAGTGGAGCATCAAAGGGACATTTTTCTTCCACTAAGGAAAGAAAACTTCAAACTAGGCAGTACAGATGTGAATACCTTTCAGTGTCAAGTTAAAGAATAACAATTCAGGGGTCCGAATGCACCAATGAACTTGAAAGCATACTATTCTTTTGATAATGGGACCTGCCATTATTATAGCGCCACTGTAAACGTTGTGAATGAATAGAGATGCAAATTGCATCCCGACCTCCTGTTTCAGTACCTTTTTTGATATTGGGTTAATAGTTCATTAAGGTTAAGGTGTTTTATCCTCATTATCTGTATTTTTCCAGTGAATTAAAAGCATTTTTTTTGAAGAGAGAAAGAATGAACATGTTTGCAGGATTGACTACGAAAGAAACAACCAGTTCCATTTCCTAGATGTCAACATAAAAAGAAAAAACGATGGGACAATTCAAAAATTTGTCTACAGGAAAGAAACTTGGACTGGTCAATACCTACATTATCATAGCTTTTGCCCAACCAGTTACAAACGATGTCTAGTAAAAACGCTCTTCAGCAGAGCCAAAGAAATATGTTCAGAAGACAAGATTGAAGAAGAACTTGAGATCATCGGAAATAACCTTATCGAGAATGGATATCCTCGAAAGTTCATATTAAAATATATAAATGAAGAAGTACACAAACCGAAACCCGACACCGTTGAAAAGAAACCAGTTTTCATCTGTCTAGCGTACAAAGGGGAAGACGTATCCACAAGAACACAAAAAAGAATCACAGGTGCATTAAAAAGAACGTTCCCAGCCGCCAGACTGATCCTACTTCACAACACTGTGTGCCCTTTAACCCAGTCAAAAGTAGATGAGTTCCCTACTCACGTCAACTCCAACTGCATTTACCAATTCACGTGCACCTGCGGTAGCAAGTACATAGGAAGGACTGAGAGGACAGCATCTACTAGATTTTCTGAGCACATTCCTAAGAGTCTCCGTACAAAAGGAAGACAAGTGTTATCAAGTGCAATCGCCAGACATCTAATTGACACAGGACACACAGTAGAAATCAGCCAAGCCTTCAAAATAATCAATACACAAAGAAACCCACGGCTACTTCGCTTCGCAGAAGCCATTGCTATCAAGAGATTTCGACCAGACCTCTGTATACAGAAAGATAGTGTGATTAATCTTTCACTACCTTGGTAACCCTAACTCTATTTTATTTTATTTTTGTTTTGCCTTTCTGTCAGTATGCCTGTGTGTTTGTCTTGTTACGTAACATTCTATTCAATTTTGACCTTCAAGTTTCTAAATCTACTTAATTGTTTGTGTGTTTAAGTTATAAATGTTACTTCACTGTTCACCCCCACCCTCTTAAATTCTCCACCACAAGATGTATAAATTTACTTTGTTCTCTGACCCTGACCCTGTAATATGCCTCTAACCAATCTGTGTTGTTTTCCAATAGAAATCTGAACTCTTACCCCTCTTATCCAATTCCACTATATATAATTAGTTGTTTTTGACACCGAATAACCTGTCTACCTACATCAAATTCTGGAATTATGTTCCTTATGCCTTCTATCTATAACTCCAAGTAATTATGAAAAAGTATGTTCCACAACTTTCTTGAAACCTATAATTTGATTTTGTTTAGGATGTATGCAGTTGATGAGAATCCACGAAATAAAACGAGCTCGTATTATCCTGCAAACATGTTCATTCTTTCTCTCTTCAAACTAATAAAGGGAACCGGTTGCATGAAAAAGCATTTTAATGCAAAATACACTGATTATTTTGACTGTCAGCTACAAAGTCAGTCGTGCGTTGGCACATCACGAATCGCTATTCTTTAACTTTGCTCTCTTCAACTATTCATAGAGCAATTTAGTTGTTATCGAGTACAAACACTGCAAATACAATAACTAAATGGTATAGGAAACAGAATCAAAGCTTTTATTACTCCCCTCCTAAGTAGACTTTTAATGAGGAAACCTAAACAATAGACAAAACCTCAAAAAAGTTAATGAAAACTAACCTAAATATATCCGGTACACATCCAGAACAACATCTATGACCACAATCTTCAAATAAGAATGGTACTCGTAGAATACGATTACAGTTAATGCATTCATATGCCTTGTCCAACTCATCCAAGAATACAACATCTACATCATAACTTGCTCTGATTGACACTTCTTCAGCTGGATTTTTCATTGCCTCTGGTGTCTTCTGTCCATCAATTTCACCAGCAGTGTTGCTTCCAGAACTTTTCTCCATTGGTTCCACATTTGATATGTCTTGATTTCTTTTATTTGTTCTCTTTTTTTGAGTTGTGCTTTTTTTAGTTTTCTTTTCTGAGTTAAAAAAATTTAATGGCTGAATTACATTTGTGCTTGCTTTTAAATAATGATGTAAGGTTATTTAGATAAACAGTTTTTTTCATCATTGTAATACAGTATTAACTGTAGTTGAAATGAAGCCTTCGTCAAATACAGGTTCAGTTTAAAAATGTTCTAATCTAAGACATTCAAATGAATCTAGGCGATAAAATCTAAGTCTGCATAAGATAAATTTGTCTGATATAACACACTGATACAGTAATAATAACTCGATGACGTTTCGAGTAGAGTTTATTGCTCATAATCACATCAGTCTATTCATACAGCTTCATATTTGCTTTATATACTTCCTCTCAGTCCCTCTTGTTATTTATTGTGATTTTCCATTTATCCGGGATAGGTGCTGGTTTCATTATTTAGACTGAACGTGTTTGATTCGATAAATAAAGACCCAATGATTAACCCCTATTTAACCCTATTATGTCGTTATATATATAAGTGAGTGCATTGCAGTGTGGCCGAGCCTTCTTTCAGATCACTGAACTTAGCCAGGTCAATCATTCTACGTCTAGCTAAATTCCAATGATTCAGTAATCTAATTGACTACGACCTACTAGTATGATAGCACCATCATAACACGGTATTTGTTAAACTACATCAGTTTTTTTCGTTGGATCTTTAGAGTCCTTCAATCACCAATATTTGACGGGGATCGGGAAAGTAAGGCAAACTTTCATTTCTCTCAAGTCTGTGTGGAGGTCAACAGAACTACTCAGCATGAAAAATAAGATCTGGATTTTCAACTCCAATGTGAAGTCTGTGCTACTCTACACGGATCAGAGACTTGACTCCGCGTCACGAAAGGAACTTTAAACAAACTACAGACCTTCATCAACAGCTGTCTTCTCTCAGATGGCCAGAAAACATCAGCAACAGGGATCTCTGGGAGCAAACTAACCAGGAACCAATTGTGCAACAAATATGTGGGAAGAAATCGAGGTGGATTGGCCATACTCTCAGAAAACAAACCATCAAGTAACATCACAGGACAGGCCCTTGAGTGAAAACGTTGGTGGAGAACCGAACGCAAAGGAGACGTGAGGCTGAAGCCCTATACTTCTCTAGGAATTAAAGGAAACAATAGTAATAATAATTTATCTTGAAATGAGCTGGCTGGTACAAATGCCACTATAATTCCAGCCGTGTCAATATGCCTGATACCATCTCATGAATAATGAAAATAAATTTCTTTTCCATTTTGTGGTACACTTAACGAAAGTTGATCTTTTCTCAACTAACAGTAGTGAAATCCTTCAGCTCTTTTATTTAGCTTTGATGCTAACTATTGAAAGTTTATACATTCATTAAGTACTATATTATATCATTAAAACATAATAATATAAAGAACGAATCCCCAATAATCAACAAATCAAAAGAGCCTAATTTCTACCTTAAGTAAGATGCTGAACGCACTGCAATGATGGATAAAGGCCTTGATTGATTAGATAATGTGAATCAGTAACTTCTTGAATATTGACTGAGACAGAGGTCTATCGACACACCACTCAAAGTTCTACAAGATCATGGATAGACGGTTTAGTCCTTAATTTCAAATCACATTTGTATACAATTACATGATATTTACAAATTCATTCACTCCTACCTTTTATGTCATTGCTCTCTGTAGGTATTTCCGTAGGATTCACTTGTACATTCGTCTCACTCATGATCAAAAAGCGACTGTTCCTTTGAAAAATGGAGAACTCCACTTAAATGTTATAAATATATATATATAAGTGGTAAGCAGGTTTTGTAAGTAAAAATTACCGGTGTCATGGTAACTAACCATTAAGTTATTATTGCATCTGTTATTATTATTATTATACGTTTGAATACTCTTGTTCTTCTTCTTAAAACCTCCCTTTCTCTTTCTTCTCTGATACTATGGAAGCCATTATTAATGCTGTTCATTTATGCACTACAGCATGGGACACTAAGTCCGTTTGTTTATATGTACTAATAATCAAAATGACGTAGTACATTATACGAAAAAGGACAACAAATAATATACATAATTAAAATATCCTTGACAAAAGTTATTGAGTATATCTCATGTATGCTTAATAAAATATATATTATTAAAAATGAACGCCTTTTTGTTTTCATTCAAGTTGAATAAAATAAACTCTTTTCAGCAGGTTTCTTCAACACCACCATCATCTCTATTAAATAATAATTTGGTTTTAATTGAATAACATTTGGAAATGTATAAAACTCCACTTATCCTTTGTAAATAATAGTAGTAATAATATCTGAAGCATATTATAAAATTTATTACAAGAGAATGATTGAATTCCCATTCGTGCAAAAAATGCCCATATAGACAGGGAAATAACGTCAAACAGTGCTTCGATAATTTCATGGTGGAATGCTCGCCAACCACGCATGCTGTCTGCGCTCGACTCCTGACTGACCGACGTATTCATCAACCTCACTGAGCTGATAGTTAACCCCAGTGATAGCGTTCTAAAAACTAAAACTCGAGTCTCTCAACAAACATTTCAAATGCCAGAGTTTTATCGCTTGCTAGTCGCTGTCCACTAAAATAACACTGTGTTAATCTTTAAACATCTTAGAAACATCCGTACTAGGACCCAATAAGTCAGCAGATATCGAACATTCTGATTCACTACATCTAATCGACGAGAAACACAAAAATTAACTTGAAGAATAGAGACAAGTAGTTAGTTAATCAAAAAATGATAAGGCAAGGAAAATAGTTGTAGTAGCAAAATACTGATAACACTTGAGTTGAGAGGCAGAATTACTGGGTAGTCAAGTTTATTCTCTGTGCTTAAACAAGTATTTTCTATATATCAGTGGCTGAGACCTGAACAATGCAAAATATATGGGAAACAGTGCGTTTCATGAAGACTTCTTTTGACTTTGTCAATAATTTTCCATGATTTTTCCTTAAGGACCCTGTAACCAGTGCTGAATAACATTAAATTATGGCACTGCGTGTTGACCCATCATTACATCTTTTTAACCATGTCAGATAATGTTCCTTGACTCTTTTAGATAAAACATTCACTGAATAACCCATATATCTCACTCCATATGAGCGAGTGAATTGGTGGATACACACAGATGTAGTCAAATGAGAAATTTTACCCTTCGAGTGATTAGTGTACATTGATTTTTTCCGATTTGGCTTCCACTCAAGGGTACACCTGGTGTATGATGTCAATGAGCGGTTCCCTGAGCAGTAAGTCCTACCCATCTTAATTTCCTCTTACATGTTTCTGGGCAATAGGTTCTTGGCTGGCTCACTGTACTGTCACATTGCCTTATTGTTTATCTTATCTGCTTGACCATCTGATCTTTTCTATTGAGCATAGGAAGCTGTTGATGAAAAGTATGCAGTATCTTGTTAAGAATGCTTCTGTTGACGTTTACACCAAGTCTCTGAACTACAGAGGTGTGTTTATGGGATCATCTTTATTCAGACAACCACAAATTTCGCCTTGATGGATCATTTTTCAATGTCCGTTAATAGCTGAAAGTTAATCGGTGGCATGACTACGCTGATTTAAGTATGTGCAGAATTCCTATAGAATAGTGTATCTAATTTCATCAATATAGTGACTGAACAACAGAATGCGTTAGCATCAGCAGAACAGCATATCCTATTGAAAAATATATCTATGGCTTGATTGTTTGACATAAACATAGGTCGCCACATTACTATTGATTTAATGAGTGGTGGCTGCTGATGAAATGATGGTCCGACTCACAGTGGAATTCAAACTAGCGGCTTGATTCGTTTAGTCAGGGTTCAGGTGATAGATCACTAGTTGGAATCCAGACAATTTAAAGTATAGTGATCCAGGAGTGTGAACGTAACAGCGCCCTTGAATGCATACTAGTAGTTAGATTATAGGACCTACCATAATTATAGCGCCACTATGAAAGCTCTTCACGAACTGCGGTGCAAACTTATTCCAGATCTGGTTTTTAAGTACTGTTGGCGCTACATGGCTGAAATTGTTCCTTCAGGGCTTCATTGTCCATCCAACAGCGTTCAGAAGCAACTGATAGGCAAGTGTTGAGGTATACACAGTGTAGGAAACGAATTGATATTCGAAACGGTAAGTTACACACTCATTTCAGTCTTTTCTAGGAACTTTCTTATCTAAATCTAAGCTGTCGCTGACAAATATAAATTTTATATATGTCCAAACCAAGTTCACTTTTAACAGTTTGAAAAAATTTGGGCATTGGGTATATGATATTCATTATAATAAAGGTTTTTGTATTCCCCAATGAATGAAAAACAAAACGATATTGCTTTCACTGACGTTTCGCTATTTAATGCTAATAATTTTATCAAAGTATTATTAAACCGGAATTCACAAAATTCACTCAGCTCATATATAACTAAGAGTTAAGGGGTGAGAAAAAAGACTTAGGTCAAGTTAAAAAGGACATATTGAAAGTCAAAATAACAATAAAGATCACTAAACCAAATAACAAAGGTAATAGAACATCTTCTATAGTTTGGTTTGTAAGGATTAGTTATGTTTTACGAGTTGATCACGGACTGATATCAGTTAGAGAACCATTGAAAACCAGCACTGGAGTACTGGACAGCTGCTGTTTCATCCTAGTTTGGGAATCATCGGCAGTACGCACCCACTGGGATTCGAACCCAGGACCTTCCGGTTACAAGGCAAGCTCGTAACCCATTCAGCCACTGGGACCCGATTCAATGGCTCATGAATTCTAACTTCTACCGATTCGTGATTTAGCGCGACCCCAACCATTGGTGGGACATCCATCCACACACGTGACATCTAACTGGACCTCACTGGTCACAACTTCTCACTAGAACTCCAGGAAGCTTCAACCTGTAGCAAGCCACTAGCGAGCATCAGATTAATTTTCTATAGTTTGGTTTGTAAGTACATCTGTAGTACATCTGTTATGATATCAAAACAAAGTTTACTAACTTGATCATCGTTCGTTAGTCTGGAGTCATTTTTCGTTGTCAAGTTGGTCAATTGGTAAAGATAACAAAATTAAAATCAAGTGCAGATTGTTGGATTTGATCATTGTTTAAAATTATAAAAGCAGTGTGTGTTTACATAGTGAACTTGCATATCACATTCGTGTTGATTTTGTCACTTCATGGGGGAGTGAGGTCAGATTCTGTTTTAGTCCATCATTCCTATTCAGGCAATTTGGATTCCACTTGATATAAAGTGCTTCTGACGATATGAGAAGTTCTTTGTTATTTCTGAAATTTTTCTGGATTATTTCAATATTGTCAAAATCAATTTTGTGGCCTGATTCTATAGCGTGTAGACGAGCTATGGCTGATGATTTTTCAAGTTTTTCCAGTTCATTTGGATTTCTCGGTGGTCGAACAGATGCTCTACGGTGTTCATCTCTTCTAATTTTGATTTCTCGAAATGTTTCTCCGATGTATATCGTATCACATTCCAAGCATTTTATTTTATAGACACAATTAGATAGAGAATCTTTAGGGATCTGGTCTTTTATATGGACAAGGTTGCTTTGAAGTGTGTCTGATGTTTAAAAGAAAACTCTAAAGCTATTAGCATTAAATAGCGAAACGTCAGTAAAACCCATATCGTTTTGTTTTTCATTCATTGGGAAATACAAAAACCTTTATTATAATAAATATTCATTTTGTCTGCCATCATTGGATATTAAAGACTGGGCTGAGATCAACTTCCGTAGAGACGGAAAATTCGCTAGTATCTACTGCATCAGAGATACAGTATCCTGAAAGATTATCACCGTCATGCAGCTGATGGGAAGAGTCGGTATTGTTGTTCATATTATTAAGACCGCTCTGATAAAGAAGAAATGTAATCATGTTCGCTCCAGGGTAAATAATGTTAGAGTTTTGGGAATTTATAATAAGCAATTTTAGAAAGTAATTGTGAAAGCAATTTCTAGTCAACAGTGTGAAGACTCATCTACCGATTATAGAGAGGTTAGTCATTCTTGGTAATATTATTCATACAGATGAAAGGGAGGGATACAATCGACTATCAGATATCAGTTTCGTGCATCATCAAGTCAACCTTTAAGATGATTTTGTTAAACCCCTTACTGGAACCCATATTAATTCCCTCGAGAACTTTCGAGGAAGACTGCAAGACAGGATAATAGCAATAAATAGGTCATGAAAAGAACTCATCCTCAGTCACCTCGATGAATACATGTATAGAAACTGATTTAACTTAAGAATCGATACTCCTTATTATAATTGGGAGGTATTTTTAAGTCATGTCAGGGAAAACTATCCTGTTTAATGTGTTTTGTCTCAATTCTCTATATTTCTCTTGTAAATAAACGTTATTTTTGTGTAGAAACTACTGTTTTCCCTGGTTGTTCGCCCCAAGATCAACTTCTTTCTTTTACTTGAAACATTCTACTAAGGCATGGATGAAATTAGCTTCAGATTTGTGTATAAGAAACATTAGTTAAATTCCTCTATGAAGATGAAGAAATAACAGATAGTTTTCGAGAAAATTTTATGCTACCGAAAATTAGGTCAAAAAGAATAAATTTTCTACTGTCACAGCCTTCCACACTGTTAGTGGTAAATAATGGTAAGATAATGAGGAAATCGATGCGTCAGTGGTTCATTGATAGGCTGCTCATTCGGGAATTTAAATAAAGGAAAATATGTATTAAAAATATCAATATATGTGTA